AATATTAGTATTCTTGCTCATGTGGTGGTGATATATTGGTCTTATTCCACATTGTAAGCCCCAAAAGAGAAAATAAAATGGAAGAAATCTTCAAAAATGTGAAATGGACATAGAAATCAAGACAGTGGGGTGTTGAGTAATGGGCTGTAATGGCTAGGATTCTTTTTTTCTCTCAGCAATAAGAGGATTGCTATTTTTTGTTATTATTTTTTTTTATTCCACTATAATATGCTTAAGCATGGACACATGACACTGGTGAGGATCACCCATGGTCTAGAGCACGTAGAATCTTTAACCCATGGACCAAATATCACCTGTAGAGATTTTCTATGTGGCCCATGTTAGAAGCTTAATGATATTGTTGAACATAGACTTATTTCTTGAGAATATATCATGTTCCAGCTTATGAATCATCCCTGTGGGGAGGAGAAAGAGAAAAATGAGTTACCTACTGGGTTGGATGCTAAATAACCAGACCGTAATGGTGAGGTAGATTCATATTCCAGTGTTCTTGAATTTGACTTGGGAATTCTGCTTCTGAACCAGAGTTTCAACCACCTAGACCATAGGAATATTGTTCCCTGCATGTGGAAAGCAGAAGGCAGAGGGACAGAGGAGTGGGCAGTTGTATGGGGAGGTGTCTTGCACAGGATGGTCTATTTGGAAGTAAACTAGTGGTCTCCTAATAGTTTTGCTTGTCTTCAGAGCTGACTAGTGCTAGGTGTACTCAAATGGAGGCTGGAAGTTTCTTGCATTTCAAGGAGTAGCTGAGTCTATGTCTCAGCTTTGTGTGTTTCATGTCTTAGTTCAAACTGTGGCAGCCTCTTTGAAAATCTTGACCTTTATCTGGAATGGATGATGTTATCTACTTTTGGACTGGAATAAGACTATGGATTGCACTGTTTCCTATTTAGCTCAGCCTGATGGGCCAAGAAAGCATGCTGGAATTGTTGCTAGAGACATGTCTTCTTAATCATGTATATTTGCTATGAAGCATCTTCTATATTTTAGATAGGTTGGAACTTGCCATGTTGATCTGTGCATCTGTAATTTCCAGCTTTGATTACTTTTAATGTGACAGGTATGATTTGAAAGCTTCAGCTGCATAGAAAGCAGTTGCATACCTTTTAACACCAATGGACAGGTAAGTCCTTCAATTTTTGGATTGAAGGATTACTGATGTTTTGCTTTTGGATTACTGATTACTTTTTGTTTCTGAATCCCAGGAGCCTGAGACTCAAAAACTGAGCTGGGTTAGGATACACTTATCCATATGAACCCATAGACCAACTGTGAGACACTACCATATCAAGATTTTGATTTGTGTGTGTGTGTGTGTGTGTGCGCGCGCGCGGGTGTGCACCTTCAAGTCAGTATTGACTCCTGGTGACTGCCTGAATTAGTCCCTGAAATTTTCTTTGCAAGATTTCAGAAGTGGTTTGCCCTTGCCTCCTTCCTAGGGCTGAGAGAGAGTGACTGGCCCAAAGTCACCCAGCTGACTTTGTGTCTAAGATGGGACTACAACTCATGGGCTCCCAGTTTCTAGCCTGGTGCCTTAACCACTACACCAAACTGACTCTTTCTCTCTCTTTGATTAATAGAATACAATAAATGATAATAAAATATAAGGAAACCAAAGTGTTTGGAATTAGCATATAAGGATTTCAGTTCTGAATACTGCTGAAGTACTTAGAGGTAAGACAATGGAAAATTGGCTTCCCATTGAGGTAAGCTAGAAGATCCGCTAATGGGATTGTTCTGCAAGCAGTAGCTTGTCCTGCTATAGTTCAGTGGTGCCACTATTTGACACAGAGGGAGATGGGTTCTGTCTTTTGTTCCTTCTGCAATGCCTTCACTTTCCCTTTTCCCTTGTGTTTCAGTAATGTAGAAAAGATGGTCAAAATATATGTAGAATTTTACGGACACATGCAAATTTAGAAATAATTACTATAATTTAAATAGAAATATAATAGTGAGGAAAGTAACCCAAGTGGATGCTCAATCTGTGTTTCAGGTACCAAAATCTCATGAGCAATTTCCTTATGCCTCTTGTATATTCACCAGACTTAAATTGGAATTCTCTTTAGAAAGAGTGTCCCCTGTTTAAAAAAAAAGGGGGGGGGGAGGAGATGACACTGCATCTCATATGTACTTGTCCAAATATTTCATTCATCCTTGGAGGTCATCCTTTGGAACCCTCTGACAACTGAAGTTAGGTAGGTGGTAACAAGGGTGAGGGCCCTGAGGGGCCCAGCTTATGGAATTACCTCCTCAAGGAGACGTGCCAGGTGTCCATATTAATCCCTTGACATCATCCTAACATATTCTTCTTCTTCCAGGTGAATCGCGAGACATCTTAAATAATGTCTCATGGTAGCTGCCTTATGAAACATTCTGCCCCACGAAGTGAGATCAACTCCATCTCTACTTATTTTCCAGAAGTCCTTCAAGACCTGCCTGCGTCTTCAGGCCTGGGGGATCTCAGAGGACTGGTGAGATCTTGAGGTAGCTCCCTTGCTGATCTAATTTTGTGTGTGTGTGTGTGTGTGTGTGTGTGTAATATGACTGGGTTTGACATGTTTATTGTTTTATATCTTTTGCTGTACACTGCCCAGAATCATTTCTTGTGAGATGGGCAGCCACATAAATTGAAGATATAGACAGACAGACAGACAGACAGACAATACTGGGACAGTACTTTTGGTTTTGTTATAATCCTTCTATTACTTGTTAATCTTTTTTTTTATTGCTTTTCCTATTTTAAATAATTTTGTAATTGGCCCAAGAACATTGGTGATCAGGTGAAATAGAAACAAAACAATACACAGGACATGGGGCCACCCTAGCCCCATGTCTTTGATAAAAAAAGGAGCTGGGAGCATATGACACAGTCTAACAATAGCACCAAAGACCCACATGGGAAACTGGAACTAGCATGAGAACACTGATATCCCACCTTATCACCTCAACTGACCTCTTATCCCATCTAACTCAGTTAGATTAGTTCAGAATTAAACTAAAGTTGGATTTTGGACTAGGTTGCTTTTCTACTTCTCTGCAGCATCAGGCCCTAGATGTGCTACTTCCAGTTTATTACTACAATCAACAGGTTCTTCAAACGCAAAAAGGAACAAGAACTGAAGTTCCACAGGAAAATAATTTTATTAAGTATTTTTAAACAACTACTTAACTTTTACTCTGATAAAAATATTTACACTATACCCACCTTCAAGAAGGTTCCAAAAATATAAACACTCTATTTCTCCCTAGAGGAAGAACAAGGCATTCCCCTCCTTAAAAAGAAAAACAGGAATACATTCGTATTTCCCACTTTCTTTGTACTCAAGTAGTTTTACAAATAATAGACTTCTGAAACATATAATATGTATATGTACACATTTATAAGATTTTACAAAGAAAGGCAACAACTGTGTACAAAAAAACCATGGTTTTTCAAACCAACAATAAAATATAAATGGTCAAACACAACCTGTAATTGAGCATAGTGCATTTTAGCAGTTGGTGCAATAATGTAAGGGGAAATCATAGGATGGTACGGCTTTCTGCATTTCTCAAAACAAATTACTGATCCCACTTTTTGACATGGTCTTTCTCTCATCCAATGTCATACTTCAGCAACCAATATGGCAAGCAGTAGGCAAAGACCACAGCCCACGACTCACAATTCATCCCTGGGAGTGGCTGTGGTTCTTAAACTGCAAGATGAAGCCCCAGAATATCACATCTGATCTCTATCCTAAAATCCCACCACCTGCTTCCTTTACCACGTAAGGAATAGATTCTTTCTCCTTACCGAGAGAATTGCTCATCCACTTCTTACAACCTTCCAATTTCAAGAACCTGCCTTAGCAGGAGATTGTCTCTTTAAAAATGTTTCACTCAACATATGCAGAGGGAAGGATTCCAACCCATACTCTTCTGCCCTAGCCAGAAATTCATTTAGTTTTGCAAGAGAATTTGTGTACTGCCCCAATTGGATGAGTGTAGGTGGAGAAATATGATGTGCGCACACACACATTCATCTCTGCTCCTTCTCGTTTATGCTACAACCAAGAACACTGTCTCCTGTTCTACTATAAAATGCTACCCCCAGATCCCTGCAGATCTAGGAAAAAGATGCTGAAAGGGTAGACTTGAAATGGCTCTGGATTTGCAAAACCTGGTCATGTGAGGGGCTACTACCAGTTATCTCAAAATATTCCAACAAAGGCCTCTGTTGTGTCAAATTATAACATATTTTATGTTGTTGATTTAGATACTAGTTTACATTGGTGTTTGAAAGAATGAAATTGTATGTTCAGCTACAGACATGAAACTACTTTAGAATAGAAAACAGTTTTGATTATTTTCTGGTGGTACAACACCTGGGGAAAAACTGAGAACAGAGTAGACAATAGGATTCTACTAATACCTCACAACAGCCTTGGGTCCAGAGTAGCAGCCATTCCCATGTCAAAGTATCAGCTTGATGACACTTTACGCTAATCAGAGGTGGACTAGTATCTAACTATCATGGTAGCCATTGTCCTTGCCTAGTTCTTGTCCAGGAATTAGGAGAAACAACTATAAGGAAAAGGGTATATGGGTTATTTTTTCAAAATGGCCTCCCCAGAGCAGTACCTATCTAGCAGCTCAAGCTATACAAAACTTCCAGACCGGGGGGGGGGGGGGGGGGGGGGGG